GTACCTGGATGTAAGGCAAAGTTCATATTTTATTTTATTTGGAGCGAATACAAACAAAAGTAAGGTAATGTAAAAAATAACAAAAAACATTACTACAAGACTAAAACAGATCTGAAATACAAAAAAAAAAAAAAAGCAAAATTGAAAAAGATAAACTTGTCACGACTGGAGAGAATTTCAATGACTAGATAAATTAAATTTAAATTAAATCAATACTTAAATTATGAAAAAGTAGCTCAATTTATAAAGAGAGCTGAGAGAAATGCCTGTCTACATTCTTTGATAATGCTATTTTGACAATGAAAAAGGTAATGTTGTCCATCTTCAATCTTGTTACAATCATTGATTGTATACAGTCTTTCTTCTCTCGTAATCCAGGAATGTCTCCCAGATTCAATTGGTAAGAAATTGGTGAGAAATGTGCCGATACTCTAAACCTTGTCAGAGCAATCCTGTGTTTGTTTTTTTATTTGTAATGTCATCTAAACACTTTTCAAATAAATTTCTATCATTCTTAATTTTTTATAAGTCTAATTGTTTTGTTACCCTGTATATCGTTTTGCCACTTATTTTGGTACACATTCATTTTTAATTTTTAATAATTTACTAATAATACTAACCCAGATACCATTCTGACTCAAATTATTTTCTACAAAGGCAGCAATAATATTATTAGTTTGTTGACAATAAATATGTTAACGAGTTTTAAATACAGGGGAGCTTGTGACCAATCATATTGACTATGCTTCCCTATTAGAATAAATATATAAATTGTGTTTTGCGGGCCTTTTTAATTCAGTACTCAGTTCACATTGCCAAGCCAACCACATATGTGTGTCTTTCTCTACCACCCACCCCACCCTAGGCCTCTTCCACGACAGGTAAATTTACATTGCCAAGCCAACCACAGATGTCGTGTTTTTTTCTCTCTCACTAACTTTGCATTTAGTGTTGAGCAGGTGATTTGATAAGAGTGGACGCGCAGACGGCCATTATTGAATCCGGGCTCTGAATCAGACCATGTCTTATGAATGTGCACATATTCAGTTATTTCGTGCAAACAAACAATGTATTTTACACACAGACCATGACGTGGTGCGACGACCATCGCTCTTTTAATCACAATCACAAATTCGACATATATAATCTTTCGCAATTTGAAATTCACTACACAATACGGTTTGTGTTGCGCCATACCAATCGTCTTACTATAGTATCAGTATACAGATTACATTTGTATACAGGAGAGCATTTTGTTGATCTTCGTCCACAGTACAAATGTATCAAATCACTGTAAAGTACGTTATTTTTCATTTGATGGTGATTTGGAATCAGTGAAAATAAAATCTAGTGAATATACCTTTTTTCATATATTTTACATTTTACACTCATCAAAAACCAGTGAAAATAAACTCCATACAAAAAGTATTTTCATTGAAAAGTAATTCTAGCTAAAATAAAGTCTTTTACAATGTATTGATATCTATAACGTCACTATACACGTTATCGTAGTGCATCTTCGCTAGACAAGGTCGAAGTTTATTCGGCCAAGCCTCTAGAGACCTATAAGTCCGTCGAAGACACGGGACCGTGCGATTCGGACGATGTCGTAGTGTCGCCCTGAGAGGTCAACACATGACACGAGCACTGTTTCATATGCACATAATCCGTCAGAATGCTGTGCACATTTCAAAGCCAGGGGTTAGATTTGCCAAGTTAGTTGATTGTGAATACGTACTACTAGATGAATTCGATTTCCTGGAAATATTCCGCCTTACAGTCTGTGTATGATGCCCCCAACGGCAGTGTTGTACTCGCCGCAAGGAGTGCGCTGAACCTCAGACCACACATTCTTTTAGTGGTCTGAGACTGAACGGACACTGGCACACCTTATCAAAGTTTTATCTCGGCCATATACCGCTAAAAGAATCGCACTTTATACTGGCAAACAGTGAAAAAACTTACATAAAATGTGAATGGAATATATGAATAGGGAAATCATTTACATGTGAATAGAGTCGTTAAAACAGTCGTCATAGCAACATAGGTAGATTGTACCGCTCGATATTCCCCATTTTCTGAAAATACGACCAAATGACCTGACGAACAGTACCCATTGTTCGACTGTATTTCTGCTCAGTGTTAGTTTTATTGATTTCTATAGAAAATGCATTATGTTTACATAATTAGTTCCATGATTTCAATGAAATTTGCGTAAATATCGACTAATTATGTACGCAATACAGGGCGTGGTACATATGATTGTAAAGCACATTGCCATAGTATATTAATAGTGCACTATAGTGTACCCATGGAGCTTTATAGCTTATGTCACTAGTGAGTGCACTCAGCTTCACTGAATTGATGCGTGTACAAAATCTGCTATTTTACTATTTCACGCGATGAACACATGTTGTGAAATATACATACAGCCCCTACTGTGTCGTGTATACATTTTCATAAATCAAAATAATTGACACTTCTAGTAACAGACTCCTCTTGCTCACAACAAAATCGGATATTTTTAGCATGGACGTACCGTCACGTACACCATCTGTTTTTTTTCTCTATCATAACAATAATCTGAGTAAAAGTAAAATGAAGTTAAATCCGGCTAACTGTCAAATTCATCGTTGTAATGGTTCTAGTTTATGAGTGTGTAAAGTTATACTGTAAACACAAATTGAAAGACATTTAAAAACATGATTTACACTACAGTGCGGGAGAAGCTACCGTCGACTAATGACGAATATGCGACATTATACATCGACCAAGTGATTGACAGTTCGAGTAGCCAATCAGCGATAGCGTTACAGATGTTATTGATCCCAGTTCTCCGCGGAAAACTTTAAAGCAGCTGACTCAGAAGTTGCAGTTTGTTGTGGTGGAGAAGATACAACAATTATTTCAAGAAGTGACTCGTAAGGCATGTGTGGTCCTGGCTCATGACTGGTCAATGTCAGCAGTATTTGTAGATAAGACACGACGAGGGCGTTCAATAAGTATAGCCCCTGACCCACTTCCCGTTGTCTGATCTAGATGAAATGTTTGTATGTGTAATGATTTACATCTCTATGGGTTATGTTGCAAAAAACAGCTCTGAACTAATTGCGGTTTCTGATTTACAGGTGTTTTGAACTGAGTCAGGTGTGAAATGGAGTCAGTTGAGTGTCGCAGTGATCCGTTTTTTGTATTTGAAAGGACGCACACCAAAGGAGACTTTTGATGAAATGAAAGAAACTTATGGTGATGAGGCCCCATCATATGACCTTCAAACATGGCCGGACGTCTGTGGAAACAGCTCCCAGACCTGGTCCCTCTTCTGCCATTGATGAGGCATCTGTCAGTCAAGTTGAGGCAGCCATTTTGGAAGATCGACGTATTACTGTTCACCAAATAGCCCAAGAGGTCAAGCTAAGTACAGATCTGTGGAAACTATCATTTATGACCATTTGCATATGCATAAGGTGCCTGCCAGATGGATTCCCAGGTTGCTCACACCTTTCCATAAGCAAGATCGCGTCGAGGGCTTGAGGATGTATTTGGAAATGTGCCAAGAGATGTGTAAAAGTTTTTCAAAAGACTGATTACACAGGATGAAACTTGGGTGCATCACTATGATCCAGAGACCAAAGACCAGTCAAATGAGTGGAAGCACTTGGACTCACCACCTCCAAAGAAGGCAAGGGTGGAGCCTTCCGCTGGCAAGGTAATACTCACAGTCTTCTTTGACCAGGGCAGAGTAGTGATGACAGGTTTCCTGGCAAAAGATACCACAATTACAGGAGCCTATTACGCTTCACTTTTGATGAAATTAAGAAAAGCTATCAAAATCAAGAGGCGGGGCAAGATCAGTAAAGGTATCCTCCTCCTGCAGGACAATGCTCCGGTTCACAACTCGCATGTCACCAGATCAGAAGCCCTTACTATCCTGACCTTGCACCCTGTGACTTTCATCTCTTCCCAGCCATGAAGTTGTTTTTGAAGGGAAAGCGTTTCCCAGATGATGCAGCCATGATTTCTGAAGTTACGACGTGGTTGGAGGACCAACCTGGGGTGTTCTACAAAAACGGTGTTCAGAGCTACATCAAACGATAGGAGAAATGCATAACTCTGGGTGGTTCCTATGTAAAGAAAGACTAATAACCCGGGCTAATAACTGTGCCAAGTTTCATTAATCTCCTGCTATGAGAAATGGGTCAGAGGCATTACTTATTGAACTCCCCTCGTATGTTGACCTTACTTGGTACTTTAAATCCGTTAACACGTGCACCGGGAAGATGCTTCGGGCTACGCCGGGGGGCTACGCTCTCACAACACCCCCCTGTCTCGTGGTGCTACCTATACATGTACTTATTTGCACAAGTATTTAGTACAATACAAGTTACGTCATGTGTACTAGTACAGGGCGACCACAGATTTCCTACAATACTAGTGTATCTTTAATTATATTTTTTAAACAGGGAGATATAAGTTACTCAGCAAAGGTGATATTTTGTGGCAGTATTCGTGGAGGTCGCCAAGATGCTGGCCTTTATGCCAAAATAATAGAGGAGCTGAAACTATACGGCCACGTGCTATCGGACCACGTGGGTAGTATAGCGGCAGAAAAAGGTAGTAGTACAACATTTCGAACTCATTGAATTTAATTTGGTGATGTAATTTATATTTGGCTGGATATGTTTGGAATATTGACCATTTTTTAAAATTTTGTTTGTAGACCAAGATGACAAGATCATTCAAATGAAAGACTTGATGGATGAAACTAAAGGCGAGTTGGTTCGAGTAATTTTGTCTACATTTCGGAGTGTAGCGCACCTCCTAGCATCACTTACAAGCTGGGGTGTTCGTTCCTGGTGTTTCACTATACCTTAATTTCTGTTTTCAGTTGTTGTAGGAGAAGTTACACAACTTTCACTAGGCGTCGGCTACGATGTTGGCAAAGCCGAATGCTTGCGGAAGAAAATATTGTGTCTGTATAGACCTTGTTCGAGGAACAGCAAGTGACAGGGAAGTTACTCGTACTGATCGAAAATTTTGATGCGGAAAGTTTTTTTATTGGTTAGGCGATAATTCCACATTTAGGATATAACATTACACCAAATGACTGAAAGGGGTTATGTTTGTTTTGTAACCCGTATTTTTAATCTATCATCGACAAATCGGGGTTTGAACGTAATGTGTTGACGCTACGGCGGCTTTATACACAGATCTCCTATTTGAAAACATAATTTGCCCCCGGGAATTTGCCCCGTGCTGGAAGGACAGACGGTTCTCGTCTGC